ATAATTTTTTCTTTGTTTTGAATTGTTGCTTACTGCCTCACATCTTCTTCCATGCTTTGCATTCCATTTTTTCTTTCAATATCATCTCTGCTGCGCCCCTCCCACCTCTCTTCGAATGGTCATGTGTTTCAGCCATCGATCACCCACCTCTGTAGATCCGAATGTCTCAATGTGTCCCAGGGACCATGAAGGTTCAATTGGAATCAGATGTTGTAGCTGAGTTGAGAATTTCACCCCTTATAAATAAGATGTCAGCCTATGCTTTACTGCAGAGCACTGGATGCTTTCTCTCTCAAGAATATGAGTCGTGATATTTACCTGTATATACTGCAAATGCACAGCTGTTTAAAGCCGCTTTCAGACATGCATTGGAACCCTGAAATTATCTAGACATTACCCGGAGGAGCTCTATATGAAAACATACATGATCTAAAGCTAAAAAACGAGGTGTACATATGTTCTAGTACATCTATTCAGAAGCAACTTGGTTTATACAAGTCTTGTGATATAAAGTATTACGTGATAGTGTAAGGATTTTCTTGAATGCTCATATTCTCCTGGCAGTTGCGTGTTCATGCAATTTTACCTGACATCCACTGGTGCCATTGTAAAAACAGAATTTTTTGACTGCACCTGGTTTTGTGGGTATATTCCACCTCCTGCTGCTGCACTGTGACCAGAGGATGTAAAGAAAAATACAGGGCCTGAGGTTAATGCATGTCTGGGAATGTTCCTATATAGGAACTCGTTGTTTTACCTGACCAGGTCTAACCTGCGATCAGCCGGCCAGTGAAGCACCCCGGGGCAGTGAATGATCAGCTCATCAATGCTGGATTCTCCCAGGGCAGAGTTACTGTTTGTTTTGACTACTTGAGACCAGTGTGTCTGCTGCATGTGATGTGATGAGCGTTGGCGAGAGGATTCTAATGATCCCAGATGTTATTGTTGGCGCTACGCTACCTGTTGGAGTTAATTTTTCTACTTGTATGTATGACTGTATGTGTCATATGGGGGAAGACACAGCGATCACCGGCTGGATTTACCAACCTTGAAGTTTCCACTACTTGATGCGATGTAATGGTAAGTTAAAAAAAATAAAAAATACTCACATGCTGCATGTCCATTAATGCATTGCTTCTGTAGAAAGAATTGTTGTAAGGCTGGAGCAGTTACTATGTCTGCATTATGCCAGGTAACATATGGGTTTTTTCAATTTTCCGCTTTGTTTAGTGTTACAAATCTCTTTTCATCAGTACATATACTGTTGTGTACCTATCTATGGAGGAGAAATTCAAATTAATTAATGCTGTTGGAGTTCGTCATACTGTCCACTTTCATATTCTGGCTCAAACATGTCAGGTAGGATTTGAGGTATTGTCGCTGTTGAAAACAAACAGTATCTTATTTGTCAGTGTTTTTTGTTTATACATTGTTGTAGTTGTGCCTGTTCATGAGCTATCCTCTCGTTTTCAGGAGGAGGCTCTCAGGTTTTATTGTTCTGAAATAAAATAATACTAATACAGACTATTTGGAGTTATGATGGGTGCAGAGCTAATCTAGAGCTACTCAAGATTAAACATTAAATGGCTTGAAATGAGCATGCCATGGGCTCTTTAAGTGGATATTACTCTGCCAGTTCCCTAGTACAAAGTTTGTGTATGGTCCAAGTGAGCTGCAGTGGGCCCATGTGAGAAAACAATAGCATATAGTCCAGAGTATTTACATAGAGCTAGTGGGTCTGTTGATGACATTCTGTCATGTGACTGGCACAAAACCGGAAGTAGACAAACATTTGATGGTGAAGAAAGATGGTAATTTACAATGAAAACGCCAATGAAAATATCTAACGGGAGACATGACAAGATTCAGGAATTTCTGAAGAGCTGGCACCAGAATCATCAGACAAGGTAAAAGTATGGCAAAAGACTCACTGGTTAATGACCAAATTACAAACCAGCTACACAAGGTAGATGGGTTTTTGCCACTGGAGATGCAGCAGCAGGATTTGTCTTTTTCTTTTTGGTGCCTTATGACTTCTCATTGCATAGGGTCTGACTTTTATGAAGACTACAATTTTCACACTACAATGATAAACTATTTCACTGTTGTCCTTTCAATCAAACAGGAAATGAATTTAATTCTTTGTTTGTCCAGGACACAGCAAGTCTAAGTTTACACAGGGAGTGAGACAAGAAGGTAGGAAAAAGAGAGGCTTCACCCACTGAAAATCAGCCAGCAGACTCAATACAAGCATTTGTCTTGTGTGTGTTTGTGTGTGTCTGATAGATGGATCCCCACTGCCGGATCTATGTACATTTCAAGTGCTCTACATCAAAGGCCAAATGACTACTCACATTAAATGTGATTAAATACTCCTGTGTGATTCAGGTTCAAAGAGTTTGAGTAGTATTAATCAGCGCACACGCACACACACACACACTGTGCACTGATTGAGGATGTGGGAGATAACGTTTACAGGCTGGTTAATCATAGTAATGCCCCTTTTTATTGTTTTAGGAAGTCATCACTCAGCAGAATCCTGCAGTGCCAGCCAGACAGCACCTGCTCAGAGACAGGGGAGTAATTTGCTGTATTAATTTAGAGAATTGAAGTGATTTAGCTTGCACTGAAGCATGGCTGCCACCTTGGATGAGAGTTTTCATTCAGTTTGGCTCAGAAGGTGTCGGGATCAATGGATAATTGTCATCTTGGATGTTTGTACCAGTGCTAAGAAATGCAGATGAGACAGCCAAGTCTTCACAGACAACAGCATATTGTTCAATTCAATTCAGTTGTATAACGCCAATCCACAACAACAATCATGTAAGGGACCTTACACTATTATAAGGAAAACCCAACAAGTAGTAGTAGTGTAGTGTTTTCTTGAGCAAACACTTAGTGACACTGGGAAGGAAAAACTCCTTTTGCATGCCAGTAATTTCATAATAATACCAATAATTTCAGAGGTGCCACTACATGGATACAAAGAAAGGCCATCCTGTTGACTAGAAACCATTGGTATAGTTAAATGTATATGGATAGTGGCAACAGGACACCCCAAGTCCCCTGAATGCTTGCAGTTACCAAGGTAGCTGTCAGTTCTATCCCTGTTCAGCCATACTGGTTGTTATGTGCCACGAAACATCAGAAGGCATAACATAACATGCTGAGTACCTTTCTACCCTCCTTCACTGTCCTACTAGGATTATAATATTATATTATATAATTCTATATAGTTTCCACAATATACATATACATATACATATACATATAGTACACATACATATACAGCATATACACATACACACACACACACACACACACACATATATATATAGTGTAAAGATGGCTATCCTGCAAGTAGGTTAAGGCTGTTAATCTTACACACTGCTTATGAAGAGTGACACATTGTGCCGCATTCCTTGTCCATATACAGTATGTCTCTGTGCATTGGCTCATCACTCTATTTTACACGGCCAAAGACAAAGCAATAGAACTGGGACTGCCATTGTGTCGCACTGTAAAATGCATAATTCATCATTATGTTTGTTGGGTCATGGGTGTAAAATTGGACCACATGAAGAAAGGTTGTGAATTCATCACACTGTTGCTTGGTGTGTGTGTGCTCCCAGTACACTGAGCATTAGCAAGACTTATAGTGAAGGTGTAGGGAGAAAAGCGTAATGTTGGTCCTGCTCTGTGATTACTACTGTTAATACTCTAGTTATTTGATCCAGGTCAGAGCACCTTTACACACAAATCTATGCATAACATGCAAGTGCACATGCATAGAGGCCTTGAAGGAGAGAACCCAAAGTCCAGATGCTCTATACAGATAATTGTTCTAAAAACACCGAATGTGGAGTCCTGCACCAGTATGACTTTATTCAGCATGTTTATTTTCACAATTAAGTTATTTCTGCAGGGACTTAAATCACGGAATAAAAACACACCCCACTAAGCGGGTCAATTTCTAATTGAGTCCAAAGTGTATTTTGAATGCACCCTCCCTCTTTCTCTTGTTCTACCTCTTACCTCACACAAATCCACACATTATTTTACCAGTCTGGTGTTCAGTACTGTTATGTTTATCCAACTTAAAATACCTTCACTGCCTTAAAACTAATTAGACAGCTTGAGACTCCTGTGGTAATCATTCCGATGAACTTTGTAGAGACAAAGACCCAGTATAATAGCGTGTTTCTAGGTTCTTCTTGTTTTTTGTTGTTGTTGTATTTTTACAGTGTGCCTGGCGTCAGTGAGGTGTGTGTGCCTGCTTATCTGTGAGAATATGTTCGTGCTTCAAAGGGTGTTTACAGTAAGTGGGTGGGTAAAAATGTGTGTTTGTCACAACACTGGATTTACGACATCTTGCTTGATGACAAGGATGGTCATCACCATTCTTCTCTGAAGACTCAGACTTCTCTCCCAGGGTTACGCAAAGTATTCTCTTGAGTCCTGCGGGTGTGAATGTGTGCCTGTAGTTGTGTGTATGATGAAGCTTAGTAGTGTGTTTCCTCTGCAGCTGTGGACAAAGTCATTTGTTGCCACCCCCGCCCCACCCTCGCACACATACTCACACTAAATAACCAGTGGTGACAGCGGAAAGATGTCATATCCTCCTCAGTCTGCTCCATTAGGCTCCATTACATTATTACATGCCCATGAGTCACACTGAGGTACCACTAATACAACACTTAGTAGACCACTTCAAAGATGTCTGATTCTTTTCTGTCGAATCTCTGAGTTTCGGGGAATGAGGGACTTTGAAAGGTACATAGAGCACGTACTTGTGCTCACAGCTGCGTGTGTGCGTGTGTGCATCCAGCTGTCCACCTGTCTGTTCTCTAACTGTACAACTCATTTTTCCACACTCTAAGTTTTTATTTTTACTTTGGAGAATAAATATTACTTGTTTTGATAGTTTGTCCACTTATGATGAAATTCCTTCCTATGTTTTGCATCCTGTTTTCTACATGTCCCACTCTCACCTTCCTCAGGCAGCAGGCTTTGCTGGCAGCCATCAGTGAGAAGGATGCTAACATTGCCCTGCTGGAGCTATCCTCCTCCAAACGAAAGAAAGCCCAGGAGGAAGTGATGGCTCTGAAGAGGGAGAAAGACAGGCTCATGCACCAGCTCAAACAGCAGGTACATCCACCACATGCATCCAACAAGCTATTTATACAGGCGTATAAATGATGGATTGCATTTACAGTGCTCCTGGTTTAAGAGGCTGTCTGGCCTACCGATGAATCATATAGTGTCTGGCCTTGTGGTTGCTGTTCAGGCCAGGTTGGCCATGTGAATCAAAGCAGGACTCTGAATTTAAACCTGCTGCAGAAGGTGAAGCCTGGTCTGCATTAGAACAGCCACTAGGCAGACTTTTGAACTTTAAAACCAGGAACAGACAGAGGTGAACAATTCCCAGTGGTTAACAGAACAGACTTCCCTGCTTGAAATCACACTTAGTGTACTTGCATTCAGTCATCATACAGTAAGCCAAGCCACTCAAACAGGAGCTTCAAATCCAGGCACATAATCACATTAAGACTGTCATTCTCCTAAAAATCATGTTGCAATCAGAGCTGTTGCACTTAAGGTTGGTATCACTGGTGAGTCACTGGTGAGCTTTTCTGTCTGACATCTTCTGGTCAAACAGACAAGAATCCCAGCACATACTCAGACGCATGCCTATGCACACACACTCATGTCCCTTGTTGCCCTGGGCCTCAGTATGACCTGAGACTGATAAAGGTATGTGGATCATTAAGGTCTGGCCAGACCACATCAGTGAATGAGCAAGCATGAAAGCTAATGATAATGAAGCAACAGTAGGGAGTCTAAATGCATCTCCTGAGCTGCAGGGACTTCTGGGAAACATGGTGCATTTAAAATCAACAGATGCAATGGCTAAGTGTGCATTTAAAATGCGAAGTTATGTGTGTTCATCTTGTAAATCATTAACAGTTCCTAGGGGGTACAATTACATTCTACAGATTTCAGAGAAAGCCTCTTACCTGTTTATCGCCATTCAATGCGTCATGGTTTCCCGTAGGGTAACCGGCAATTTCTGTACAGTCCACCCGATGATGTGATGAGCTCTAATTGCAACAATGTGGCCTCTAGGCCTGGAGCAGAGGATAGGAGAAAAGAAGAGAAAAAACAAAGGGATGAGAGTGGGGTGGCAGCACATACAGTAAAGTTTCTTGTACATTCAAACTTGGTTTCTTAGATCGTCTTCAGGCCCACTTCTGCATAAATCCAGGGCTGTGCTACTGCTATGGCTATCTTGCACAAGAGCCCTAAAAATGTGTGACTTTGTCATCTATTAATCTTAAAGAGGTTGTAAGGTAAGAAGTTTCCTTTTGCACTACCGGGGTTCCTTCCACTCGCTCTCTGGAGATTATGCTGTCCAACATGATACACACCGGCTCTATGTCTTCTGACCCACTGACACACATACCAGAATCGGTTGCCTTCCTCAGGACCTCAAGAATCAATGATGGAAGGAAAATGACCAGGAAATGTTGAAGAATTATGGAACTCAGAGTCTCTTAAGAGAAAGCTGATCTGTAGGCAGTAGATAGATTTACAGATAGCAATGCCCCATCTGACCTCCCCGCATCCCTCTTTTGGAAGACGTGTTTGTGTGTGTTTAAAGCAGGCGGTTTACAACAAACGTTCCTTTCTCAGTCAGTTTGCTCCTTCAGCATAGACAAACATACAAAGACACTGCTACACACACAAACACACATCAAGAGTATAGTGTTAAGACTTCCTGAGGAGAGAGTCAGAACAAATTTGTGTCCATGTGGGAATAATCTTTGTGATGCCATCCTAGTGATGGATGACCATACGTCAGTGGAGCTTTGAAGCTGAGAAAAGATGAATTTGGAATCCTCATAGTTGCACCATTTTTTGTGACTTTGTCTTGCCTCACTTTCTCCCTCTCTTTTTTGGACACACTTCTGCATCCATCTTCCCGCTATGCTGAAAAGATGGATTTTGTGTTCTCAGAGATGTACCACTGAGAACACATTATGTAAAACAATCTGCCTGCTTAGAGCTGGCTCATTTTGTTTTAATGGGATAGCAGGGAAATGTGCATGCACACAAACACACAAGAAACCTGATTAAAGAAGTATGTAGTGTGTTAGGCAGTATTTTCCCAGCTGCCTGTTCAAGGCACTTCATGTCAGCCTCCTTTGTCCATATGTGATAATACAGTCCTGCTCTAATCAAGTCAAGCTTGTGAGTTGTAGGGCGCTTGGACTGTGGCTGTGGATGTAACTTTAAGCACAGCAGTAAGGTCATCACTGGTGCGTTTTACGCCAGCAGATGTATTTTGATACGGCCATAAACAAACAAATATTTGCAACTATATAGTTAAGGCCAACTTTGTTTTGGTTAGAGATGTCAATGGAGAAGTCTCCTGCCCTTTTTTTTTCCTCCTCCCGTCCTTTCTCCTCTCATCTCTGTTCTTTGCTTTGTGTCTGTTCCAAGCTCACCTGGAGGCCATTACTAAGCTGTGTACTCTACAAAGCCACCAATTAACACAAATTAAAACACACAAATTCCACCACACAATGTGTTTGCACACCTTCTTTACATTTGTCTGTAAGAAGAGAGTGCATGTGTCTGTTTTCGCATGTTATGTGTATTTATTTAAATAAACTGGATGGCCGCATATGGTCTGTCCTGACCACACATTCAGACTTTTTCAGATGCAACTTGTCACTTCATTCATTTGTGTTTTTGCATCCCAGGTCAATAAATATTAAATATGTGTGCAGCCACATATAGAAACTCATACTAGGACATTTAGCTTCTTGAGTTATTAAATATGGTCATAATTATATAAACAGAAACAAGTAATATGGTACTTATTAGATAAGGAGCAAGGTTGAAACTCAAAATAGTCTATTAGCCTCAGCTGCAAATTAGTTTTGAAAATATTTCTCTGTGAGTATTAAATAGCATTATGAAGAGTGGAAAACACTCTGTGTGGAAGTAACTGAAGTAACTGAAAATTCCCCATTGAGGGCTCAATAAAGTACCTACTTACTTACCTACTGTACAGCAGGTGTTTGCATCCAGCGAGCTATGTAGCAGTACAATAATTTCATCAGCTGCATGGTATATGATAGTATTTTTCCTAACCTCAGTGACAGGTGTCTGGTTTTGTAACTGTTGTATTAAGGCCAGCCCCACCCAATCACATCTGCTGGTGTCAACATCTGAGGTCATGGAGGGCTGTACTCAACCTAGCTTTAAGTGCTCTAACCACTGGTCTGATGTCTGTCTCAGCTCTCATTCAACCCTCTCTTTATCCTTTTTTTATTTCCATTTTCTCCATCTCACCACAGTGCCTGTGTTCTTGCCTTTTCTAATCTTCTCCAATTTAAGCTAATTGCTAACTTCTTTAGCTACATCATCTCCTGTCATCCTGACTAGTTCATTGCCTCAGGCATTAGCTCCTTATCTCAGCAGTAATGTCCTCAGGCTGCTGACTACTGTAATGCCATCTCCCCTCTATCTTCACAGCTCACTCATTTTCTTTTTCTCTTCCTGCTATGGCTGTCTCTCATTTAAACAAGGAAAGCCGCATCATTCTGGATGAGAGATGTGCATATCTTTCCTTCGAATCATCTTCATCCCATAACCAATCCCACCTCCTGCTCTGCAGTCATGTCCGCCCTCAGGGAAGGTATCTGCAGTTAAGAGAATAAAGCTGGGCCTGTCAGTCTATCTGCACCCACTCTGCTTGTCTCCCAGACAGCTGGCCTGAGTGGAGTTAGGCTGGTTGTTAATGTTAGTCAGCCTAGGCTGTTATCTCTCTCTAAAGCAATGATGTTGGCAGTATGACAGACTCTTCCACACACACAAAAATAAAGGACACATAGTCTTACCCATTTACAGGCATGCAGAGAGATGCATAAGTGAATGTAGTTTAAATCAAGGACACATAAAATGAGGTTGACTTTTAAGCCACAGTGTATAAAACACTCACTAACTGTTTGTGCTTGGATTTGTCTAAATCCATTATATTATCATCTGCAATATGAATGATCTTTGACAGACTTGCAATATTTTCATCAGGCACTCTTAATTACTCAATTTATGACTTGTCAAATGTTGTTAGCGGTACTGTTTTTATCATCTTTGATGGCTTTCAACATGTTTCCACCCGTCCAAAAGTCTCTCAGCCTAATCATTATAAGATAGTTTTTCAGAAACAGAAAAGCACTGTTGGAGAAATAAATGGTTTAGTGTGTACCTCATATAAGGATAATCACTTTTATTTGGCCAAGTATGTTGCACACAAGGAATTTGTTTCCAGTACAGAGCTGAGGTAGCCATCTGCAACACCAACGGCTCTAACCATTGGGGCCAACACTGTCTTGCCCAAGGACACTTTGACATGTGGACTGCAGGTACTGAGATTTGAAACTCCAGTTGGGAGACATTCACTCTACCCACTGCACTACAGTGGATGAGGTCCCACCGAGATTTGAACTCAGATTACTGGATTCAAAGTCCAGAGTGCTAACCATTACACCATATAATCATTACCACCTTGCCATATAATTACATGGCATACATTTTCTTGTTTATCTACTTTGCAGACTCAGAGCAGAATGAAGCTGATAGCAGATCATTATGAGGAAGATCACATCCATCCCCAACATCACCCTCACCATACTCACCACTTGCATTCAGCAAATGTGCATCACCGAAGCCTGCCAAGAGGACCTCCCCATTGCAATCACCAACCCTCTATGGACCAGGTCAGTATAAATTTACACTCACACAGTTCCACAGTTTCTCATCAGTTTAACACTTGGCCTTATTTACAGAAGTTGACATGTTGTGGACTTGTGCCTCCCTGCTTTTTCATACTTTTCATTCCCGCCACCAGTCAGTTGTGGTCAGACCCGACCACTTAAAATATCCCCTCTCTCTTTTCTTTCAACTCCATTACTTCCTGCCAAGTCAATTATTCATATGATTTTGATAACAGGCCTGAAGGTAAAAGCTGCCAAATGAGTGGTTTTGATTAATGGGATTTGTGTGTGAGATTAGTTTATATATATCATTCATCCCTTATATGAGCTCCTTTTCCCTGTTTAATATCACATTCAGACTGCCCTGAGGACAAATTTTGTGTGCGTGTGCAAACTGTTGTTATCAGCACCAAGTGTTGTGTGTTTGTATGAATGTGCATGCATCCAAGTGTGCATAGATGTGTGCTTGTCTCTTAGGTGTGTATGTGTAAATGGAGATGCACGCCTGAGTTTTGTTGATACTTTGTATCCAAATAAAACTGCTAACAGGAGAAAGAAATCTTCAAAGAAAGACTAATATGAGCGTTCACTTATTTGAACGCAATGTACTGTTCAATTATTAAGAAGCAGTTATTGGGAGATTCCACACTACGGATGAAATGTGTGTGGGCGTGTCTGTGGGTGTGTTTGGGGGTTTAAGATCTGGAGGATTCCTACCTGACTCTAAATTATCACATCTGTGCTATTGATATACACTATTCCAAGTTTTTTGACTTTATAAAAGTTTCTGACACTGCAGTCTAAGTTGGAGTCAAACCTGCACTGGGGGACCCCTGTCCTTAATATTTCCCAAACACATGCCGATGCATACCAGCACACAGTCATAACCATGCACCCCCCTTGACAATAAGTAAGAGGACAGGATTACTGGTTTTAATATATATATATTTTGTCCTTTATGCCTATGGAAAAGTATGTGAAGGTCTGGGATTGATTGACATTCATATGCACACGTTTCACTCAAGAATCTCAGACACACTTGCATTACATATTAAGGTAGGGTATACAGTATGTGAAAATCTACATCCTTTTTAAATATAAAAAAAAAAATCTACACCTGATTTAGATTTTTGTACAACACTAATATGTATGGACTTTTACATTTAGTGAGGCAACTGACATGGAACATAGCTCAACTCTCAAAACTACCTTGTAATACCATAAGGAGCACTTTACACTTTTATGCTGTGCCATATTATTAGGTTATGTTAACCACAGTAGGCTGGACATTAAACTCTGAGCAGCAGGAGGTCACTTTTTAGTATCACACATTACTTACTTTGCATGCATAAATGTTTTTCCCTCAATATGTCAATGTAGGGTCATGTTACTACAGCAGTGTTTATAGTGTTTGACATATAAAGCAGTAGCTCTTTGAAACTGATATTTTAGGTTGGACTGAAAAGCCAAAGAAAGTATTAATTTTTGTGTCTATACAAGCAAACTTTGATGGCTTCGTACTTTGTATGCAACATCTGTGCAAAAATGAAATTCAAGCTTAAAAGGGAGTACAAATAGAAATATTAAATATATTCAGGGATTCTTTGTATAAAGGGTAGGTTAGGTCTGGAAAATGGTGTTGCTTATTGTGTATACCTAGCTTCCATATGAATTTTCTACCATTTTATGGCACTTTTAATTGTGCATTATTGACTGTCTGCAGGTGTAGCACTTTTAATTGTGTATTATTGACTGTCTGCAGGTGTGTGTGCACACATTGCTTATAGGGGATGGCAGATCACACCGTTTGGCTGACACTAAAGATCCCTGAAGTGTGACTGATTTCCCTCCAAAACAGGAGGGATTGATTTTTCTATTTATTTGCACACTTTGTTCTGTGTATGTCCTTTTTACTATTATTTTACCTCTTCTTTTGCTACTCTTTTAGTTTTATCACACCTCTTCCTGGTCTATTATCTTCCCACCCATCTTCTTTCTCTCCATTTCTCCCTGCCTGTTTTACCCTTTTCTTTCCTTCACTTCTCTCCCTCCATCTTTCCCATTTCAAATGTGATATCCAAGTGTGGCCAGGTCAGTGGTTTACTGCACTGCTGGGTCCAGGAGCACCACTCGAAAATGATTGATGATGATAACGGTAATGATGATGAAGAGGGTCACTCACTATGGAGACTGCAGTGCCTTTCCAAGATGCAGCTAGTGCCATAAATAACATAACAGTGACCACATCAGCTTTTTAAAATATTATTATTCTTATAAGATTTCTTGCATTTACATTTATGCAAGTTCACAGCCTGCACATCCAAGTGGTACATTTAAGACACTTAAGTGCAAATGCATGCACTGGAACAGTGGGCACCCAGATGCAAGAACACACTTCCAAAATTTTCAAGGAGCCAAACCACATGTCATTCAAAGCTCACTGCTACAATTACTGGGTCCATCCTAATCCTCTAACTGTACTCCATTTAAGTCCATCACAGAGGACAGGTGAAATCTAATTGAAGGAAACAAGCACAAGAAGTGAATTCAGCTTCTTGAGATACACCTCAGGTCTGTGTCTCAGCATGAAGTGTGTTCAGTTTGACAAGCATGTTGCATTCATGTTGTTCTCATTTAGCCATGCCAGTGCCACTGTCAGATACTTGGCAGCAGACTTGGAAGGAAATAGAAAACAGCCATAAATTGTTTATCAGATACAGAATTAAACAGCCTTTGCTTTTGAGTTGTTCTGTTTTTTTCTAAGCCTAAACATACTGCCTGCTTCAGGTTTATGAGAAGTAGCACATGGAATTTGGCCTATTTGAGGGGATGTATGTGTGCCTCTGTAAGTGTGTGTGTGTGCATGCATGTGTGTATTTAACCTGGCACAATGAGTGGTTATAGGTCTGGCTTTGTTTAGAGGGCCTGTCACAGCCATTCATTGCATGTTAGCATTTAGCATCTAGCATGTTCCACTGAAAGTCCTTTATATCTGTAGCTTAGCTGCTTAGATGTAGCCTTCTGAGTTTACCAAACCTGTCACAACCACTCAGTCCAACCAAAGTCACTGTGGACTGCAGCCAAGACCCTTGTGTTTTTTTGCTCTGTTGTAGCTTTAGGATAAACCATGCTTTGTCAGAGCCTAGTTCAGCATTATACAGGCAAAGGCTTGGCTGAGCCTCCAGCTCATGCTAACCATCATAATGTGAGTGTCTAAGTGAATTAGACTTCCTGTTAGCAGGTCTCTTGTCTGCACAGTTTCAGTCCCAAGGATACGCCTTGTGTGTTTGGTTATTGGTTCCTAAGGAAAGCATTTCATGATATCATACACAGCTTTGCTGAATGACGAACATGAAAGCGACTGTTTAGATTAAAAGCCACAGAGGGTTACGAGGAGCATAAGATTAAGCACTGAGAATCTGCATGTAGAGACACGACTACTGAGTCAGGGTTTGTACAGTAAATAGTTTTAAAGGGAAGCCAACTTTGCCACATACTGTACAAATTTTAACATGAAGTGTCCATTACCTGTAAACTGATGGTAATTGAATGGATGGTGATGGTAATGACATGTTTGCCCTGTTTTTTTTACAGGATGATGAAGAGGGAATATGGGCATGATCACCACTATAAAGACCCTACATCTATTTCTTCACAGTAAGTTTCTTCTACAAAGTTATTTTGTTTGTCTGTTCATTTTGTATGCTTATATATACTCTGTGACAGTGTATAGTACTGTGTATTTGCTCCAGATATTTTAATGATCTTGTGCACAAAAGGTTTCTTCAGTAGGCTCAAGCAACCATTAGCCAGGAACACTGATGCTACCACAATAACCACAGCATTACCCAACTATGACAGAAGAGTGTAATAGAACCTGTCTCCTTTTCCCACTGCTTCTGAACTTCAATTGACTAAAGAGCCTCTCTTGATTCAGAGGTTTACTACTGGCTTTCTGCGAAGTGCTCATATGCTGGTTGTGTCGTGTGCTGTACATGACCTGTGGCTATATAGGTTACTGTGTGGATTAGATCTATACACACCCAGCAGCCTAAAGCAAGCGTACCAGGGCCCAGAGGTGATAAAAATGACACAGTGAGAAAAACCAGAGATGCACGATGTCTCTCCATGGCCCACTTTTTCAGACATAGTAAAGTTTTACCACACTACCCCACCCTGTCGTGAGCCAGTGTGTAGAGTAGTTAATTACAATACAACAAAGAACAGGCTGCAAGCTGAAAAAAAAACCATAAAATAAAGAACGCAGAGGTATAAAGGATAGGTCCTGTTTTGAGGATTTTATATCAAAGTCTCTCCCATAGACTCAGGATGTCTTTGAACACACATATGCAAAGATGTGTGTGTATCGAAAGTTGGAGAAAAAGAACAGTTTAAAAATGTACATTGCAGAGATGAGAGCAAGAGAGGCAAGGGAAAGGGAAGGAAA